ACCACCTTCACTGAAAACTTTCTCCTTATATCCAACCTAAATCTACCCTCTTAGAGCTTGAAACCACTTTCCCTTATTCTATCACCACAGACCCTGCTGAAGAGTCTGTCTGACTGTCCCAGAGCAGCCATCAGAACTGCCCTCCTCAGCACTGCGGTGAGAAAGCATGTGGTTTAGGTGAGGAGATGACATTTTTCCATATCTAATCACTGTCAAAATTGAAGGGATTTGCTATTGTTCCACTGATTTAATTGTACTAGGTTATGAAAATCACGTGGCTGGCTCGCATAGATGTGAGCTCAGAGTACACTGAGTAATGAATCATATTGCTAAGCCAGCCAGGTAAGGTTGACACTGAAGAGACACAAACCTCTCTTTTTTTGAGTTTTCTGGGCCAAGAGCAAGGACTTCCAAAGAAGTTCTGATTCCTACTGCAGTTTCAGAGTGCCATTACTGAATGAGCATGTCAGAATAAATGAGAAATCCTAACTGCTAGGCTGAAATTAGTTTGACTGAAATGGAAGGAGAAGATCAGGAATCCCGGACCAGGGTCCTGCCAGAGCATCTCAGACCTTGGCATGTGTTTGAACTTGCTCAGCATTTTGACTTTTCCTCTGCACCTCTGGGAATTGTCTAGTTGGCTTTATTTTAAAAGAAACAGGCGAAAGGAATGCACTCCAAGAGTCATGAAGAGGTGTGAGGAGCCAGCTTGTCCCAGAAGGTTGATTTTGGACACTGAATCCAAGAAGTCATGTTTAGGCTTGCCTGGGCTAGGGTTAGACTTGCTGGTATTTCAGGATCAGCCTCTGCCACAAATGCTGTGGCATTTTAATTGTTTCAGAGGCAGTCTGGGGACACAGTTAAGCACACAGTGTTCTACCACTGCTTGTCATTTAATGGGTCACACCAAGCAACCTCAGAATGCCCCTTTCCTGCCCATCCCCAAACCCTTCCCTAAAACAATAGGAGCTCCAGAGTTTTGGGTTGTACCACATTTGCTATCGTTCCTATACCCAAATGAGACTGTTGATAAGACACACAAATGGAAATAATGCAAGCAAATGTGCATATTATGTATTCCATGGGCTAAATGGAAAAAAGTTCAAACTTAACAGATGTGGAGAATAGATGCTCTGTGTGTTTTCATGATGGTGTTTGTTTTTGCCCCATGGTAGCATTAGTTAATTTGATGGGGAGCAGTAGGGTAAGTTACGTCAATGCTGGCATTTTAGTGCCCCTGTTGTTAGTACCAGAGGGCTGTGCTGACATCCAGAAGGATCTCAGAAGGCTAGAGATCCCTCACCAAGTTCAACAAAGATAAATGCGATACATTAGGAGGAGCATCACCAGCAGATCAAGGGAGGTGATCCCTGCCCTCTGCTCAGACTGGTGAGACTTCTGCAGTGCTTGGTACAGAGATGAGTGAGGCTGGGAAAGCTGGGAGTGTTCAGCACACACAAGAGAAGGCTCAGGGGCTTTTATCAATGCTGTCACAGCAGCTACATGAGAGCTGCCACAGGTGAGTTGGAGATGACATTTATAAAACGCACAGCATGGGAAAAAATAGGCTTGCATGTCATCTGGGGATTTGGTTTTGGAGTTTACTGGAAGCAGCAGCACAGGACAAAAGTCACAATAAAAAGGGTATTGCTGTTGCCAATTCCCATGCCTGGGACGGATTTCTTCCTGATCATTTAAGATGAAACTCATTGCTGAGGGAAAATCATCACATTTCTTACAGCACTTGTAGAATCATTAAGGTTGGTACAGATGGCCAAGATAATCTAGTTCAACCATCAACCCATCACCATCATAAAATAGTTAAACTCTGTAGGACAGGTAACCTTGACTTAGAGGTAGAATGGTGGCCTGGAAATTGAACTTCTAAGTGAGAATAAATCAGATGTTTCCTTTCTTTCTCAAACCCATTTGGACAACAAAGGAAGAGAAGGCAAGGTTGTCTCAAGACATGGCAGAACCCGACTCATCTTGGAAGATGGCTTCCAAATTTTTTAAAGACTATGAGAAAACAGATACCTGGAGGACAGAGACACACAGTCACACACAGAGAAGTCAAATACAAAAGCAAATCCCTTATTATAAGAGTCTTAAGAGCTTTGTGAATTTATCACAACCTAACAACAAGAAAAACAACCTGACAGGAGCTCATCTGTGAATGCCTGCTTGAGAAGAAAACCCAGGGCACTGAAGAGTGATTTAATCTTGTTGAAATAACAAGAACCAAGGGCTAGAGACTATAAGCAGAATTCAAACAGAACATGAGGCCCAAGGGGAAAGGCAGCCACAGGACAGGTTCTCCCTTCTTCCTCCTTGAAGCCATAACTCCTCTATGCAACTGAGGCCAGCACAGATGGAGGGAAGAGTACCTGGCCCCAACAAAGTGTTGGGATGAGACACGCCTCAGGCAGGTGTCCCTCACCCATGGCATTCCCCCCTCCCTGCCTCTCCCCACAGAGACCAACCTGCCCTTTCAATTAATGAGATACCACTACTGAGAGCACACAGTCTTAGCAAACACCCACTGGGATGGCCAACACGAGGAGGTGAGTGCCAATAGCTAACCCACTGACTGGGCTGAATGAACTGAATGCTTTGGTAGGTCCTGCAGGAACCTTGGGTAGTGTGGGTGTATCAACTCCACAACCCTTCATTAATTAAAAATGTTTCTGTACAATGTTTTTACACATGGATCTACTCTGATGTGCATCTGGAAATTAGTTTACTCCCAAGAATGTGAAGTAATTTTTGGCTTCTAAATGTAAGGAGTGAGATTCTGTTTTTTAACTCTTTGCTTCCTCTCCATGTTCATACAGCACAGGATGCTGCACATGAAACGGCTGCCCCACTGCTCAAGCAGCCACTGCACAGGTAATGATCTGGGACATGCAGGAGTGAGTGACTTACTCGTTACTATTGGAAAAGCTTTCACTATAATGAACGTCAGGACTCAACAAATCACTTCAGTGTTAAGGGTTTTGCTGCTTTTTAAGTAGGCAGGGAAGAACTCTGGACAAAGCATTGACAGACTTGGCTGTTAACTTACTAGTTATTAGCATTTGGTATTATATTTTTCATATATTATCTTAGTAAAGGAACTTTTTCCCTTCTTTAATCTTTGTTTATGCTAGCTTTGGCTGAAGGACCAAGTGCCATCTAAAAATGCTTTACTGCAGATTTCTGTATTGAAATCCAAAAACATTTAATCAGAAGAAGATAAATGTTTTACATAACTTGCATCAGCATTTATTAGTTTAAATCCCATGACCTAACTCTCCCAGGATGCACAGTTTTTCTGTTGCAGAGAAGGATAATGTGTAGCTGGGTGATGAGCATGGGAACTTTTTGGCAGCAGAAGGAATATCATGAATCCTTAAATATTTGAGATCACACACAGCCATGCATACAGACAGACAGCTGGATAATTTTCCTATGCAAAAAGAGTAAAGAAGGGAAAACACTGATGAGCAGATGGTTTGGATGTCAGTTTTATGTTCTCCTTACAACTGTTAAAATGATGCTGCAAAGAGAACCTGGATGTAATATGGCCTCAGTGGAGCTGATAAGTAGCAGAAAGAAAAGATACTAGGATTTTTATTATTATTCACACAAGGCACAAGATAAAATTGGTACACGCTGTTACTGATTTAGTTGTGAACTATGGGCTTCATAAGGAATGAGAACAGAGTAACAAATGTTCCAGATGCTTGCTGCTACGGGTCACGTGCCAAAACTTACTGTGTGTGGCATTTTCTCTGTTCTTCCTTTTCCCAAATGGGATAACTCACTGCTACTGTTTTCACCTAAAACATGCCTGCAGTGTGAAACAGAAATCATGCTTAGAGGTAGATAATTCATCTTCTCAGCACAAGGCTGGAGATCAGAGGTGTTGTCTGTCTGTGGCGGTTCCCCTTACCCTTGGGGATGACCTTTGTTCTGGGAGAGATGCTACATAGGAGGATCTATAGCACATGGATAAGAGCAGAGACCTTCAAGTTCTCACTCCTACCCACAGAAACATGGGGGGGGAGAGACAAAAAAGAGAAAAAAAAGAACAGTTATTTTCTGCAATCCACCCCTCCACACAGCTGTGTTTCTGTTTCATCATTCTCTGTAATACTCAAAAGATATGAAATCATGCTGTCCTCATAGGGTAGTATTTGGTACCTTTTTAAAACCTGGATGCATAGTGAAGTACTGAGCTCTGAGAAATGATGCTGTCTTAGTGTTTCATTCGGCTGGCATCATTTGCTTTCCGTATCTCCTTATGTGCTCTAATATTGATTTCTGGTCAAATAACCACTTAGAAAAAGACACTGCGGCCCTGATGTACATATATGCTTGAATGGCAGCTGGAGGTACTTACTGTCTCACAGTTACATGAGACTGACTGGGACAAGATGATAAAGGGGAAAACCCAGTAGCCTTTCCTCTACTGACTGTTGGAGTCCTTTTTGACACTGTTATAGGACTCCTACAGGACTCCCAAACCCTAGTGATGAAGCAAAGTCCTTACAGTTGCAGTTTAATGTTGGGGGGGAGGAGGTAGGGAGGGGGAGTTAATCTTATGAAGCTGTACCCTATCTAGGGATCATCACTACTCCTACAGACTTTAGACTGGGTCACTGGGAGTGCCTCTTTGAGTCCTTCAAGCTGCAGCAGAAAGCTGAAGAGCAGCTTTCCTTTGCTGATGATCTGAACTGTTTGAAAGTAATGGGCATTCATTTTTTTCCTGACCACTTTTGTTTTCAGGCTCAGACTGGAAAGCAACCTGGCTTTCCCGCATCTTTCCAAGCCTCTGGACTGTCTGTATCTGACCTGGAAATGAACAATGACCCTGAGCAAGCTCATTTGTTTGAGCTAACTGTTAGGACACCTGGCTTCTCCCAGAGAAACTGGGAGGATCCAGCATGAATAAACAAGCTGAGTCATTTACATGCTCACTGAGAGCAGGCTCCCAACCCCATCACTGTCCCCTTGCACTGGAGAGAGAGAGGGTTGTTGGGAGGAGCTCACATTTACACTGAGCATGCATGCACATAAGAGGCACTTTCCAGCCAGGTACAGCTCAGCCTTATTCTGCTACTTCCCTTTTCCTCTCTCAGTCCTTCCCTTTCACCTCTTTTCCTCCTGTTCAGACAGGGCCTGCCTGCTTCCCAGTTCTTCCTGTGGGAAGGGTTCTCAGACACCCAGCATAACAGGGAAGCTCATAGGATGCTATCACTTTTGTGGATATTTACCAGTACTTTTGTGTGGTGTGAACCATTAATGCCTCCCCCAGGGGAACCTCCATCCATTTGGTGAAGCTATAGGAGTGGTGCAGCTCAGCCTTACGGATGATTGTTAGAATCAGAGAAGTCAGTGCAGTAGAAAGGCAAGAGAGTAATGTATCAGCAGAGGGACTAGCATGGATAGAAATGGCAGTACAAAGGAAAAGTACTCACCCATCTCCAAAGATCCAGGCTTGCAAGAAAGAGTCCACAAGGGAAAGATGTCCAACCAAAGATCCTTCTAGAGTGGCAGTCAGCCCTTAAACAAGGTCTAAGAGAGGTGCAGCCAGGCTCCACCCCTTCCAGTCGCACAGCTCAATTGCCTTCACCTGTGCTCCTAGGGCTGACCTTTCCCCAGGTGTTCAATCAGTGGTTCAGGCCATGACTCAACAGTTACCATACAGTGATGCAAAAACATCTTCACCATTGCTGAGAAGAGGGATCCAAAAGTAAGGGAGACTGTGGTTGCTGGAGTGGCATTTTGTCAGGAACCCCGGCTTGTATTGCCATGTCTGGTGGGATGACTGTGGAGAAGTAAATAAGCAAATGGAAGAGACAGTGTCTCTGGCATGCCCAGTCTTCTGGAATGGGCTGGAGCAATTGATTGCTCACCTGGTGGTCATCAGGGACTCCCTAGGGTGGAAGTGATGCAGCTGGAGGCTGTACATCTGCATAAATTTTACAAATTCATGCCAGAACTTCTACATGTTATCCTTATCCATTGTGGGAATGGGAGTTACCTCTTGAGTAACCATCTGGAGCTTGACACCAGTGTTGCTATGAAGAATAAGTACATATTCCAAAGCTGACCTCTGTAATAAATTGCTTCTTATTTTTCGTACCACTGGTAAATGCACTCAGTATGTGCATCAGGCTGAAAAATAAGCCAGGACTATGACTTAATTGTACTAAATCATGAAGTACCTGTCATTTCCACTTTGTTGTGTTGGTTGTTTTGTCAACAGTCTGCAAAGCTTTCACCTTCGTAGTGATCCAAGTCTAGAAGTTGTGTACCTGTAACTTGGATGAAGAGAGAGCTTAACAATGTCAGTTGAAAAGTGTTTAGCCTCTTAGTTGTGTGTGTTTCGAAGCCTACATGTTCTCCTGCTCCGCTGGTTTTGTAAATCTCAGAACAGAAAAGCACACCATGATACACTGGTAATGCACAGCGATATGTTCCCATTCCATAAGCTCTTGGAAATGACCTGGGCTGCTGGAGCTGCTCTTGCAGATCTTCAGCCCATGGCCAAGAGATGCTGTAGCCTCATCCTGTTCTTTGTTGGGAGCAGAACTGCCACAGCCCTGTAGCATCTCCAGGACAATGTCCATGGAATTGGACACTGCCAAAGAAGAAGGGCTGAGCCCAAAGGCCAAGAAGCTCCCAGTGATTACATCTGCATTGGCTTTTCTTTAGGTGAAGGGTTCCTTTCTGCTCCCTGATCACATCTGAGTCACCCTGGCCCAGGGGCAGCAAGTGAGGTGAAAACAAGAAGACCAAACACAAATACTGCTTTATGAAGGCCTTTGAAACAGAACACAGCCAGGAGAGTTTTCCTAGAATCCCTGGAAACTTAGTGCTGTGATTTTGCTCACCTTTGGACTCACATTTTTTCCATGAGTGCACAAATAACACAGTGAGTAACTACAAAAAGGAAAACCGAACAGTGCAGAACATAAAGTTCCAGGAAAGTATGTGCTTAACCCATGTTTATACAAAGCACCACGAAAGCAAAGTTTTGGTGTATGCTCTGTTTTGCTGACTGAGAAAAAGAAACAAGTATATGTATATTTTTCAATTCTTTTATTCATTTTGGAGCATTTTTGACACAGGAGTTATTGTTGTTCATTGGACAGTTATGACAGATTTGGAAACAAATCACACCTATGTGTCTAGAGGGACAATGTGGTGTTAGATTGGCTGCAATCCACTCGCTTATGAACCCTCCCAGAAAATCTGTGAGCTTGCTTGTGATCATGAACAATGTGTGGGCTTTTATGGGACTGCCTTGGTAGTAAAGCACAGCAGGTGTATATACTTACAGAACTAAGAACTCTATAGAAAACTCATCTATTTTTGAAAAAAATAAAAAAATAAAAAAAAGAAATAAAAAAAAAAAGGAAATTTTTATTTAAGGGACCTGAAAACAATGTTGTTTAAAGGCAGAAAAAGCAGAAAGATTTTAGATTGTTTTTGTAAGTTTTAATTGTAAGGGAATTGTATAGGAAAAATTGTTCCAGTAGTCCTATTGAAACCATTATAAAAATCATGGCAAGCCCTTCTGCTTCAGAAAAGTATGAACGGCACTGGTTGAGTAGCTTGTTGAAGTTGCAACCCCTTCAGCACTGGTGTTTGTGGAGCCCTTGCACTAAATTCAGCACCAATCAGGGGCTTTCTGTGATCCTACAGCTCACAGCAAGTGTTCGTTGGGATGTGTGGGAGCAGGGGCAAAGCTGGGGAGTTAGAGCCCTGCTTATAGAAACATACAGCCATGACTAGCTGTTCACAGACCCGCTCTGCAGCCAACGAATAAATTCCCATGATAACTAAATGCTGAATATACGTGTTCCTGTTGGCTTAAATTTCACTTCTGCCACAACAACATTCCTGTCAGTGGAGTCGATGAAGTTGTTCACTGGGCCTCTTGTGTTTATCCTTGATGTCTTTCCCTTAGCTTCGTATTTAGGTTTTTCTAACATCTCTTTTTAGCTACTACCCTCTGATACACATTTGTTCCTCAGGAAATAATAGGCTCCTTGTCCTGAGGAGGACCTCACTTTCACCCACAAGCACTGTCAGCAGTGTGTTTATACAGCATTTTGGAATTTACACAGTGGTTTGGAAAATGTGTAGGCATTCAGATGATTGTTCTTACAACCGCATATATGTGTTGTGCAAATATTTGAGGTGCACAACATGTGTAACAGATGAAGTTCAATTTCTATTACTCTTATCTGTTACTCCTAACCAGAAAAGCCCTCAGCCTGAGCCTCAGCTGAGATGTAAGTGGTGCTTACATCCACTCTGGGCTTGCTGGGGCTGCCAGCGGACACCACATGCATGGGAGAAGAGCCCAAAGCTTCCCCACAGGTGGCACCCAGCCACGGGTGCGGCTGCTGGCTGTGCCCAGGCTCTGAGGTCTAGGCTGGACACATCTCACATTTCTCCATCCAGGCCTGACCACATCTCCGGTTTCCAGGTCCAGGCCTGGCCATTTCTCATGCCAGTGCCTGGGGCTGTGCTTTGGCCATGGAGACAAGGGGCAGACAGTATAAAGCCAGTTAAAAGGCTCTTTCCTCTGATATAGGCAGAGGTAATGGAGGTTTTAAAAACTGACTCCTTAAGTAGTTGTTAATCTGCCTCTATGCCCTTATTCAAGAGAGAGCAATTTTTTTTAAACAAAAGGAAATTCTTTCTGTGGGATCTGCTACCTGCTCTCCCTGGTGAGAATGGGTCTGATGTCCCTCTCAGGGGCACATGCCCAGAGGAAATCTCCAGAGATTTGAAGTCTGCTGCACTATTTTCTGCCGCTAATTCTTTACAACAGTGCACTATGTAGTCAAACCAGCCCCTTTAGACCACATGGTCCATGTGTTTGTTTAATTTGCTGATACCAACAGTTTCCTAAAATTAACCACTCAAATCTCTATGCACAGTTGTTTGGTTTTTTTTTTCCTTCTCATTTCTTTGTATCATCTTTCAAAGGAGCTGCAAAGGGTCTGGCACTCAGACAGCAAACCTGTGCAACAGATTAGGTGGTCAGCTCATGTTACACCTGGTGGAGAGAATAATAGTGCTGAAGGCAAAGTAATACAGGGAAGAAAGTGGTGTTTTCTAATTCATGATCTCTCATGGTCTTTTCATTTGTTCAGCAGATACTGAACAGCCACTGTACTCTTTCATCCTTCTGAGGTAGGCTTTTGCTCTGGCATACGTTTTTTCCAGCATCCAGCCCCTGAGGCATGTTCGGTAATTGAGGATCTTCTGCCTGCAGAAGTACTAAAAATGGAGTCTCCTTAAGAAGCCAGCATTTGAGAAAGATTCCCCCAAATCAGTTTCTGTTCATTAATATTTTCTGACTATAAATAAACTTAGGTTTCACTCCTGAACACTCCTTTCACACTTGAACATGTGCTTAATGTAAATGCTTTTGCAGACCTGATTGACCATATTTCTGAAATCAAAGCTTGAAATGACAAAGGTTATTTGCAAGAAATGGCTCAGTTGCCATTAATTACCTTGATATATTATAGCTGCTTCAGAGAGAGTCAGCTTTGTAGGACATTTGTCTGTCTCTTGAAGTAAAATTATGTATGGAAAACATGAAAGCTGTTGTTTTTTTTAACTGACATTCCACTTTTCCTACAACTGGCCAAGTGAAAAATACTGTCTGGAAAGATGCAACACTAATGCTATTTGGAACAAGGTGCATTACACTCTTCTTTACTGTGACTCAGACATCAGGTCTTTAGGAAAAAATATACTTTTTTTTTTTTCCTTTGGTGATTAAAAACAAACCACTGAAAATGAACATTCTATAGAAACAGAAACATTTCCTCTATGAGTGAAAAAAGAAACAAATGAGAAAAAACCAAAGACTCCTTGACCCTAAATTTTCCATGGTGCGCTAATACAGGAATCAAAATGAATGCTAGCAGATGGGGAGTGGAAAACTTTGCTGCTGCTAACACTGAGGTGATACTGCTGCACTTAAATGCAAAAGTACATTTCTATTTTGCTCAGCATTGCCTGCACTTTTAGGATTCCTCCCCAAGGCATCTACATGAGTTTGGTCATTTGCTTGGTCATTGATCAAATAGAAACTTGGAAATACTCTTTCTATATTCTTCTCTCTCTCCAAACTTGTCTGTTTCTTCAGACAAGTACAGTTCTGTATGACCAAGATCAACTCTCAGTATTTGAACAATAAATAAAAGCATCCTGCCAGGCTAGTGTTCAATAAGATACTTACACGCCTATTTAAATCCATCAGTGAAGCACTGAGCCGCGAGATTAATGACATTCACATGCTTAGTTCCATTCGCTTTAATGGTGTTTAAATACACTCTGAAAAACAGATGCACACTTCAGGATTCTCAGAAGAGTTATGGCTTACCTGGGAATTCATAAGCCTGGGAACTAGGACTGACCTGGTCACCAGGTAGTTTGTCTTCTGTCAGCAGAAATGATTCATGTCTGCTAACATGGAAGGGTGGTGGTCAGTCCCACACAACAAACAATGTACATGGAATGGAGTGGGTGGGACACTGAGCAGCTTGCTTTGGAGATCTGTGTTGGGTGAACTTCTGGGTGGAGACCTTATTTGACATTGAAATTGAGGCAAAGGCATTGCTGGGAACCACTTGGCACTTTTCCCAATAATGTTGGTTGAAAGGCTGTGCTGTTAACTACAAACTTCTTCAGTTCAAACCTAAACTGAGAATTATTTCAGGGTATCAGAATACACTATCTCAGGCAATAATAATTTTGTTTTTGGAGAAGGCTAGGAAACATCCCTTGCACCCCCAGAGTAGCAGTCCTCCCTGTATGCTGATGGACATCCTCACACGGGCAATGAAGTTTTGCCATTTTTCAGTAGCTGAGGATACTGCCTGAAGGGAATTGAATGAACGCACATAAGGAAGGTGAAGGGTTTTTCATGCAAAAGGAACCTTACTTTTACCAAATTTTCAATTAAAAACAAAAGGGGGTGGGAAATGGAGAGATGAGGGGAAATTGCCCGCTGATTGCAAATACAAATGGAGAGTCCAAAGAAAACAGACTTTACAAGAGGGTTATGGAGAGGTTACCATAAAGTTTTCTTCACCTTTTGACTCATCCTGTGAGTCACTCCAAGATAACACTGAGCAGAGGATTGTCATATGGGAAACTAAGTAAAGGCAGCTCTTCTCAGAAATAAATAAACACTGTACCCAGAGAAAATTAGAGAAATGTAAAGTTGATCTCTCTTTCCCTCATATCATTCATTTTTGAGCTTCTGGGCCTTGCTTTTGGTACTTGAAATGCTGTGGGAAAAAAAACCAATCCTAGCCCTGAGCTCACAACCTGATAAGTAAAATGAATTAAAGAATTATGGAAGATTATAACAACATCCCCCTGTCCTTTACCACCTACTATTCATTGTCTATGTAACCATCCTCTCTCCACTTGGGTTCCATCAAGCAGCAATCAACTTCTGTGGAAAGATTCCCATGACCTGCAAGTGAGTTTCTAGTGGGCCAACTGAAATCAGTGGCAATCTTCTCTTGGTGTCTGTGATGGGTTCCATCCCATATTTTGCTGCTGACATGAGAACTTTTGTGTTGAATGATTGCACAGGTAAGCCTCTGAGCTAACGATAACCTATGCTCATATTTGGGTTTACAGAAATCACATACAGAACTTTGGAAGGCACAATAGAGCAGAGCTAAAACTGACTACTTTCCAGGTGGGTTTTGAGAACATGTACTGTGCTATAAAATCTGTACTTTTTTCCAGTTTTTAAAGAGTATAAATGCATAATACCATTGTGACCCTCCAAGAGCCTGAAGTGGTGATTGTGATTGGATAGCCCTAATGAAGTAATAGCCTACAGAATAAGCATGCGTGTTAAAATGTCTTGAGATGTTGCTGACACGCGTTTGGCTACGTTTTTACCTGATCCATTGGACCCCGATGCACTATTTTGGTAATGAAGAATCCAGTGCCAAAAGATCAGATTCCTGTCATTTAGGAAAAAAATACATTTGCCTGCTAACTGATGGCTCAGATTTCCAGTGACTGTCACTGCCTATCCCAGCAGGAGCAGGGAGTGAATGTGTACAGCCAAATGCTATGAAGATAAGCCATGAGGAAATAGTGAGGCTTACCACACAAAAGTATTTTTGGAACACCACTTCTGTATGAAGCATCTGTGATAATGAACCCAGACAAAAAAATCAGCTAGTAAATGCAAGCAGATGGTATTTCCAGATGCTCCCAGTAATTTCTGTAACACAGCATCACAGTAGTCAGCCCACTGTAGCTATGCTGCCAATTGAGGAATGGGTGACATATAAGGATAAGAAATGATCTGAGATTATTTTTAGCAATGCTTATTTTCTCTTACAAAGTCTCTAGGTTTATCTATGCTGACACTATCGTTTGAATAATTTTATTTTTATTGATTTTGCTTGGAGAGTCTTCTACTTTTTCTCACAATAAAATTGGCATTCATCACCGTGGAAAGAGGGACTGTATGAGTAAGAGCCCACCAGTGCAAACCTAAATGACTTCCCTCTCCTATCACCTCCCCTCCCTTCCAACCCCTTTGGTATATCCCTCCTTCCTTCCAGAACCCTGACAGCCATCACACTGCACACTTGATATGACACCAGCTGCCATCACGCCATCAAATCTGTCTCTGTGTTAAACTCATTTCTTTAGTTTTCGTCTTCTACATCATCTGTTTAGGCAGTGCTTCTATGAGACATATATCAGTGTCTGAAACAAGGAAACTTTCTTACTGCTTGGCAAAACTTTGTTAAACAAAAAATAATCACAATAATGGTAATAAAAACAGTGATTATAACTACTGCAGCAGCAAAGGATTAACCAGGTTATTCATCACTTATTTCACTGTGCAGTGAATACAGTTGCTTGGAAAAATGAATGACACAAATCTTTTATCAGCAGCCAGGCTAGTGAGGAGAAGGCATGCAAAGGACTGTGGTATGTGAATGTCATAGTAATTGTCCATACAGGTACTCTTAGAGCATGGTAGACAAAGTAGTACCTTCTAGTATAGTTCGGGAAGGAAAAAGAGAAATGTCTAAGAGAAATGCAACTACGCTGCAATTCCTGTAGATAAGTATAGGGCCAGCATCACTGTTCAGACAGACCTCTTGCCCTACAGCAATGTCACCATGTGTGTCAGGCCAAAGTCTGCAATCCTACTGCACAGCTTCAGATCAGATTGTGGTGTCATTATTTGCACACCTCAATGCCAGAACCCCTCAGAAGTCTGGGGGATGACATCTTGAATGACACATGACTGATAGGTGAGCATGTGTTTTATTTTCAAAATAATTTTGCGATTTCAAAATGAAACAACAGACAAGCTTTTAAAAATTTGACTACTTCCCCTCCTCTTCCATCTCTAAATGTTCTTGCTTTCTTGTTTTGACAGGAGAGGAATGAGATAGTGTCCTCCCCAGACCTGATGGGGCAATCTTATCCTCAGTGTGAGGCCATCTCCCACAGCAGGTGTTTATCATACTGAATTGATGGAATGTCATGGTCAAGGCTGGCTCTTTGATATGTGAAAGTGAAGAAGAACCCAACCAAAATACCACAAACCCAAAGGAAATATATTGTGTTTTGCTGTCAACAGCCTGACAGTAGCTAAGGCCCCATTTCCCCTGTGGGCTATCAAAGAGTAACTTGATCAAGGCACATGAGATAAATGAAGATGACGGTCATGCTGGGACTGGAAACGTGCCTCCAGCAGTGGCAGCAGTGTGTATGTTTGCAAGGGGAATTACAAGGGTCTTACTCAATGTCTGGAGGTGCAGCTTGCTGCTTCAAATGGCTGCTGTAAACAAGCGTGAACATGCTAGGACCTTGCTGTCACAGTTCCTGACAGTAGTGAGAAACTGGGACCTGCCCTACAAACAAAATCTCATGAAGTACACTGAGAATAACTTTGCTTTGGGAAAACCTAAGAGGCTTTAATTACTTTCTGTAGCTAAAAAAAAAAAAAAAGTTGAAAACACAAATCTGCTTGAAACTTGAAACTTTTAATAAAAAAAACTACCAAAGAGCAGAGAAAATTTTCTCACTATTGTTTTCCTTACCAGGACCCCAAGAAATGGGATCTGGTCTGCTCCAAGCTCCTGTCTGGTCTGTCTAGGCATGATAGTATGTGGCACTTATCAGCTATTCTGGGGTTATAATTTTTCTCCAGCAAAAATTCTGTTCTACACTCAATACAAGGTTGGTCAGTGCCCACGTGCATCTGCAAAGCAGTTTGGTTTTTAACAAAACAGCATTTTTGACCAAAAAAGGTTTTTCTTTTCTGAAAAGCATTTCCTTTGTTCAGGTGCTTTTGCACTGCACCCAAATGTCCATGGTGCCAATTGATTTGCTAGTGTTTAAATGCTCTACATTTTTCCATTAAATATCTGAAAAAAATGTGCTTAAAACTTATGAAGCAGAAGGCAGACCCTGTTCTTGTAGTCAGGTAAACCTATAGATGAGACCTGGTTTGAAACTTTTAATGACGGTTTTTTTATTTTATATCCAGATACTGGCCTTGATGTTGAAAACATTTTGCAAAAGTATTTTTGATGGGATAACTCCTTAGGCACTGAGAGAAAAAAGTATGATAAGGAGATGGAAGTTACGATTGTGTTCTGCTTTGTGAGAGCATTTGTTCTTCTTCCCAGTCTGGGTCAAAAACAGCTTTACACTCCTGTGTACATTTGCCATGTAGCAGTATTATTTATTGCTGAATCTGATAACAGCACAAGCCAGGTGTTCTGTTCTTAGCAGATCCTTGAGAAATCTTTGGAACAGACTACAAAAAAAGTGTCAGAGCCCATGTAAACTTTCTGGAAGCCTTCATCTTCAATGTTAGGTCCAATTCATTTTATGCCAGACCTGACTCTATCTTTTTGGGTGCCATAGGCATTTTCTCTGATGATATACAGGTGCCTCATAGTTTTCCTGTGGCTTTCAGCACTTGGAAGGCTGTGGGATTCCCTGGCTTAGGGAATTTCAGCTAACACCAACAGCAAGAAAACGGCTCAGGTTGCTGCCATTAGACTTTGTAGACTCTGGAGGTGAGCAGTGGCAGACAGCACCTGGAGGTACGCACTCCCAGTGGGTTACTCACAGAAAGCCATGTCTTGGATCACAGAGACATGCAGATGCAGAAATGATGGCTGCACTCTGCACTCAACTAGCTGATGTCTGGTGCTGAAACAGGATTGACAGACAGGACCACCTCTGTTGGGTTTAACCCCTATGCCTCACTCTGTTATGAGAGTCCATTTGGAGGAGATCTGCAAAGCAACAGTGATTCGAAACAGCTGTAAACAAAGGAACAAAGGTCCACTCCATTCCCCTGTCTGTGATCCCCTTCCCCTTCTCCCTGCCTGCAAAGCAAAGGGATTGGCTACTTGGGGTCTGGAGACTCTGCTGAGAGCGTGTGAAATAGGCTTTAGCTGGATTACATGGAAAAGTGGAGCCGAGCCCACACTTGGCATGATGCATGTATCGAGATAAGCCTTTCTCCTCTGCCAGGAACCAATTTACTACAGCTAAGTGCTGTGACTACATAGCAAGCCAATCCCTTTGTAAGAGCTCATCATGCATTTCTTTCAGCAACCCCAGAAAATCCTCAATAGTGTCATTGCTGCACATGTGCCACTTTTCTGAGGGAGTTTCTCTGATCATCCCCTCTGGAAAGCCAGGAAGACAAGTGGTAGAAATTCAAGGTCCCACAACCAGTCTTGCCTCATCCAAGGAGGAAAGGAAGGTGAAGGGGCTGTGTGTCAGTTGCCACTGCACTCCTGTGCCACTGCAGAGCTCTCACATTCAGATTGAGAAAATGGGCTTTTGGGAGAGGAAGAGTGCTCCCTCCCTCATGTGAGGCTGCAGGGAATGCAGACATCCACAGCAGGGGCATGATGTCTTTATTCACATCAGATGATGCTGTACCCTTTAGGTTTCCCAGTTTGGGGAATCTCAAACCTTTATCACAGAAACAACATGAGCATTTCCTAGCTCTATAGCCTACTTGTAAGATCATTTATTTCACTCTGTTTTAGGACCAGTGAACTTCAGAATAGTGACAGCAGCTAACTTACATTAACCAGCATGTTATTAATATAATATAATATGTAATATTTATTATTCTATTTATATAATAGAATCATAGAATGCCTTGGGTTGGAAGGGACCTCAAGGATCATAAAGCTCCAACCTCTCTGCTGCATGCAGGGCCACCAGCCTCCAGATCTAATACTAAACCAGGCTGCCCAGGGCCCCATCCAATCTGGGCAATATTGTATTGTTTTTGTCCTCCCTCCTGCTGGTAGTAAGAGTTTTAACCTTGTTGGGAACAAAAATAAACTAATTAATCTATCCCTCATGTAGTAACAATGCTATCATGAAAACATTAAGTCTGATGGTATTTTTTTTCTCTCTCATACAATATTAGATATCCCAATCTACATTTTCACTGATCTAATTGTTTAGAAATCCTGAGAGCAGTCTGTAGGTATATATATATGCTTTTTAGAATTTGTGCTTTCTCTACTAGAGAGGAAGATGTCTCCCTAGATCTGCTTCAAAGATTCAGAGAGAGCAGAGTGCTCTTTTCACAAACATTATTATTTAAAATTCTGTTCACCAGGAAAGAAAAAGTAAATGATCCACATTTTGCAGCACATACACTGCAACTCTGAGTATCCTTTCTCTGGAATGAAACTAGGAAACGGTATAATTCTTTTCATACAGAAGTATGAATGTACAACTTTCATATAGGGGATTTCATTGTGCATTGCAAGTGTCAGCTGCTTAAGACACACAGTTCAAGTAGGTATAATTTATCATTTTCCACAATATTTATTACAGTGATCATTTGAATGGAACCCAGGTGTTAAGGGGGAGAAATCCTTCCTCTTCTGCAGGCAGCACGCCCTCACCCTCAGGGAGAAAAAATCTTTTCAAAGTGATTCCCAGGTATTCATTTCCTCAGCCTGTGATTAGTTTTCCTAATCTTTCTCAATCCAGAGTTATGGCCCTTTGCAATTATATAGCTTGTTGTGTACCTGAGTTCTGAAGATATAGATGATGAAACTAAAAATCTACCCTCACCCCAGGCTTCAGTGACACTGTTTCACAGCTTTGTTGCTATCACTGCTTGTGATGCATTCCAGTTATGAAAAAGTGATGATAGCTCTGCCACATACTCTCTTTTACCAGTAAACATAATTCCTAGAATCCTGGTAAGCATTCTGGATGTTTTTTTCATATGTTCACAGAAACCTTTGCATCCTTCCTGTTACATGAGTATAATGGGAACAAGAGATTTATCAATCTATCAAAGGGATTTTGGACTTGGAGAGTTATCGGCATCAGGTCTGTTGAGCACACTGGATCCCATTAGATCAAGGATTCCAGTATGATTGTTCTCAGTGCAAACATATTGTGGGCAGCTGACTGATTAGAAATAAAAAGTGGAACTATCTTTTTTCTCCTTCAAAAGGATTGGTGAACTAGTGTGCAAGCTGTAGTTTGATGCATGGAAATCTGCATGGCTACAGCAATTCCTAAGCTAAGGCATAAAATTTTATTGTCTGTGCAAAATCTTAATGAGTAGTGCAAAGGCATGAATGATCTTTCATTCTTACAAGTGGTCTGAGAAGAATCTGAGATTTCAAAAGACTTTGGGATGGTATTTATGTCAAAGAGAAAGCATTTTCATTTACAATGAGAAATGGCCACCCTTGTTGGGTCAGTACTTGCAGCACATTTATTTTTGAACAGCAACACCCCAGAAACGTTGGAAAAGTCTATCATGCACCTATATGTGTTAGTGCATCATTGTCACAGAGAAAAGTCCAAAAGCTGCTATCAAAACTTCTGACTGTTCAAGCAGCAGGCAGATGTGGGAAATGGAATGTATCCTTTTGCACACACTTTTGCCAACACACCTGCTCTCTCTGCTCTCTTGCTCTCTCTGAGCAAGACTCTCAACTTCGAATTCATGAGCATCTCTGAAGCCACTAAACGTGACAAACTTAAGGCATCTTTCCATGAGGTTGCAGCTTCTTAATGTTTCACTCCTGAAGAATTTTTGTATAACCCCACATTATTACATGCAACATCTATAGCTATTTCCTTCCGAACTGAGCACTGAGCTTAATAAAACAGGTTTTATTTATAAAACCAATGAGAAAAAAAGGGACTTTCTTTGTCAGAATAAAGCCAGAGATAATGACAATAAAATGGTATTTGCTATTTTTACCTCAGAGAGACAGTAATTTTTTCTTTTTCTTTTTTTTTCCCCTCATAGACAAACCAATAGCAAAAGCATTCAAAGATGTGGAAACAGAAAGAGAGCACAGCAACTTATATTCCTTTTACCAATAGTTCTTTTAAGAGTGGGAGCAAGATAGTTCTGATTAGATTGAACATTGCACCCATATTTGATTTTAGTGTTGATTTTATTGTTTTTAGTGGGGCAAATTTTGTACTTCTTTTAACAAGAAATCTCTTTAAAGCCAAAGTTTTCTTATGTGACTAGATCTAGACTTCTTTTAAAGTGAACACTGAGCAATCCTGATATTAAATCTGCACATCCCATATCCCAAGAAGTTCTAGTGCAGTAAGTTATGGTCTAAAAATCCATTACTGTTAATTGATAGTAAAATGCAACTTACAAAACTTGCCAAGACTAATATGAAGTATCGGAGGTTGAGCTATTTGTTATCACCATTTTTTAATCATCTTGTTACCATAAACTGAAATC